GAAATGCCCCAAACAATATGTAGGAGAAACTAAGAATAATTTACGAACTCGCTTTAATGCTCATAGGTCAGACATCAAATTAAAGAAAGACAAGCCTGTTTCTAATCATTTCAACCTCGACGACCATTCAATAGACGATCTCACCCTAATCCCAATTGAGCGTATAGAAATTGACTTGCCCGAAGATGAAACTACCAAATTCCGTCAATCTAGGGAGGCCCATTGGATTGAGACATTGAATACAGCAAGACCTATAGGACTAAATATTCATCATAATGTAGGCATAGCACCCTTTGTTGTCCCGTTTAATACAACCAGCAATCGAGCAAGCAAGATAGTTCATGCCCACTATAAGAGCCTTCAAGAGAAATTCCCCCATGTCTATAAGCAGAAAATGATAGTTGCATATTCAAAAAATAAGAACTTAAATGATAATATTGTTCATAGTAAACTAAAAACAATCAGTACATAACAGATACTATACTTCTCGCCCATTGGGCGAGTTATTTTTTCTAATTTCAGATCAGAATAAGAACAGAAGAAAACCCAATATCAAGACCCTTAATCCTAATTTCTAAATAAAGTGTCTGCTCCACCCTAGGCCTGTACATTTGGGAGAATCAAACCCTCCCTTCCCCGAAATCTAATACAAGGATTACATGAGCATTGGATTCCAACTGTGTTTACAATTTTTTTTTCTTTTTTCAGAGATTTTGGAACTACAGATCCACAAGATGGCAGTGTTTTAGAGAAAAAGTTAGAAACTACAGTTTTAAAAGAATTTGAGAAATATCATTTAGACAATATTAAGATTGATAAACATAAAATATCAGTCACTTATCCCCATTCAACTAAACCCAACACTTTACAAATCTATCAGAATAATCAGAGATATAAAAAATTTACACTGAAAAATAGTCCAGTTGGTAGAGAAGATAATACAGTCGGTGATGCCAAGTTTCCTTATGTTGCATTTACACACAGTGGGAAAGCAAAGGTAAGTATTTAAAATTCAGAATTAGATTTTAAGAATGTAGTTTTATCTGAATAAAAATGATTACATTCGAGGATGATTTAAAAATTAAACTAGAACTGCCCTTCACCTCAAGTTATAGTCTAGATATAGATATTGAACTCTTGTTCAAAGGCTTGTTTTTCAAAAAGTAACTCACTGTGATGAAATCATATTTAAAGGAACAGTCAGCTGATTGGTTCAAAAGGCCAGAGTTAAAATGGATTTTAGATATTTTTTTTATCAGTTTTTGTGAAACAGGACCAATCTTTTGAATTATCCTCTAATGGGCACAATTTTAATAAGACTGCTCCTCTGTGTGTGATTATAACTGTCCTCTTAACTATCAAAATAATATATGTAGATTTTACCAAATTTATCATAAACCTAAGTGAGGATAACAAATTGTCTAACTTTACCTTTTGACATTAGGGGAGAAAAATCTTGATTAATATGTCACCTAGGTTGAAGATAACTGTTGTGATTGATAACTATTTTCACCTTGAATAATTCAAACATAGAAAGAGTTAGTGAAAAGAATATGTCAAACTGTCAATAACAGAAATGAGTTTTTACCTGGAAAAACCATTATTTATTTTTATGTCATTTATCTTGCAAATTATGTTGGTAACAGTGCATCTGTAACAATACAATAGTTCACTTGTTAAAAACTAAAAAGAATTAAAAAGAGGTTTTTCTGGTCTATCAATACATATTTGGAAACCCTTAACAGCTTTCATTTACACCTTTCCAATTTTCACATTTCACAGCTGTGGTTCCTGTAATTTCAAATTTGGTACCTCATTGTGATGTCACTTTGTAAATATATTGTTTGATTAAAGATTATACATAATAAAGGCCTTCTGTGTATATAACTTGAAAGGAATATGTACTAAGCTTATACCAAATATAAAACATAGGAAGAAACTAACTGAGTATAGTCTTTGTACATGTATAATAATAATATATAGATTAAATGAAGCATAATGTTTAGTATGTTTTAATCATTATATTGATATTAAACAGCATGTACCATTTCATAAATATTCAAGAAAAAGTATTTTTTATGTTTATAGTAGAGGTAAATTGTTTAGTATGTTAAATGATTTGAACCTAGTCACTGAAACTTTAGAATTTTTTGGTCTTAGTAAAAGATAAAGCTAATATGTTGTCTGTAGTGGAATATCCACCTGAAATTGTTTAACTTGTTATTTTTACCTCAAGGCAAATTCAATTCCTCTTTATTTGTTACATGAAGTTTTGTTAGATTCAGCATTTTCTGGGGTCAATCATACCTTGGTCTTAGAGATCAGAAATGTTCAGTTTAATCGATTACAATATTCACAATGTCAAAATTTGAACCTTCTTAGATATACATAGCCATAATTATCCATGTTAAAAAGTTTTTGAAGATCTTTTAATGACAGAAATACAGAAGGCTCAACTATCATGTGCTTTTCTTACAGATTTAGTACTTCTGAAGGCTATTGTCATATATTCAAGGTCCAAATCAACCCCTGAAAAAGCTGAATCTGTCCTTTCCAGGCCAAAATGGATTTTACTAATTTGTAACCATTAATCTGCAAGATGAAATAGTTTTTTATATATTTATTTGACAATTCATAAAGGACATCTTTTCCGTGGGGTATTCATAAAGAAAAGTGAATTGTGAATAAATATCTTTCTATTTTGTAGGGTAAATTGGTATTTGGTCAGTTTGGAAGAATATCTGATTTTCTACTATTACAACATCAAGTAGAATTAAACAATACTATTTTATTATTACAAATAGGACAAATATCAATTAGACAAAAGGTAAGCAAATTACAATAACTGATTTATTACATTTTATTCATTTGAGCCTTCAAATCCATGTGTGTCCAGAATTATCCACAATTGAAATTTAGAATGCTGACTGGTCTTTTCTTGATACTCTGCTGCATTTAGAAAAACACAAAGAAATAGAAAGTGAAATTTCTAGTTTGAAGTATATTTGAAGGGTTATGCAATTTTCGTGCAGTTCTGGCACTTCTGATGACTGTTTACATATATTCAGGACCCTGGAAAATGGCAAACCATGCTATAAGGATATTTAAGAATCCAGATTAACTGTTTGCAGTGCTAGATTGACTGCACCTACTTCAGTTTTTACTGCGAAGCTGTTAAAAACTACCATGGAGATAGTAGAATATATGAAAATATTTAATAATATAGAAGCTCCAGACATGAACTTTGACTGACCTCCATGAAATAGTGAAAAATAAATTAATAATTAAAAGTTAATCCTGTTTCTATTATAAAGGACACCTTTATTGCCTTTTTCAATCATAAACTACATTTCAAACACTCACAGGTAAAATGTATAATATATGTGTATCTTTCTGTCAGCAATTGCAGTTGAGAAGGGCAAAATATTTGAAATGTTGTTCTTTATTAAGCATGAAAACACTAAAGATCAGCTTACTTGATTCGTTCTATATGAAAAGAAAGACAGTTCAAACCGTTCTTTATTAGTAGAATTTCAAACTTTGGTCTAGGTAATTGTTTAGTAGGAAGGTTAGTGTTGTCACTTGGGGCTACAATATCAAGGTGTTTTAAGAGGCTTATACCATGTTATTGGTCTATTGTTTGATAAGTTTATTATGTATATTTTCTTGTCATCAACCTTGATTTATGATGCCTAATTACAACAAATTGTTCATTTGACTTTTATAGATAGTTTTTATGATTAAATACATGATCTGGTTAAACCTATTGTTCAATTCACTTATTTTGTCTATCTCTTAGTTAAACTTGTTTTTTGGATTTTTACGTCAACTGTATGAATAGCTTATTTATGCGAACTAGTTGATTTTACTTTTATATGTACTGGTATACGGTATATTATCTCTTTGTTATCTGATATTCAGATATCCCTTTGTTAGGAAATTATTTTGGATATTTACCCCAAATTGTTTAGATTATTTTCTAGTTGATGTAAAACATGATGATTTTCAGATACATATCAATAGAACTAAGTAATCATTTTGGTATTATAGAATTTCACAGAATAAGCAGATATTCTAGAAGAATAAAAATTTAAAATCAATTTTATCAAGTTATTTCAGAATATGAGCCAGTTGCAAGTACATGACCTACTATAAAGATTTATTTGCATTATATTGTTTAAGAATACCATATATATTTAAAAGCAGGTTATTCATGCACATCAAGAAATGATCTTATTTCTTAGTGAAGTTTTAACTTAATTGACTTAAGAATGCTGGCCCACATTCTAGTCCTCACTTTACTGTTGACATGGTTATTTTCTTAATCAAATGTAAATACCCTTAAAAAGATGTCTACCACTTTGGTGGTTAATGAATCTGAAATTCCCCTTCTTCTTTACTCAAAAGAACGTGGGTGTTATCTTCAAATAAATTAAATTACAAAAATTTACTCATAAAATTTAACTCTTTAGAAATATATTTTGAAATATTTGCTTTCAAATTTCTCTGTTGTTGCTTTGACCTTCTTTGTGCCCTTTTCATGAGTTTTCATTCATTTAATTACCACTACTATAGACCTGAAAAAGGATTTGCTGTCATAAACTTTGTCAGAGTTTAAACTTTTAATAACCATTGAAATGACTGAAAAAAAAAAAATAGAAAATTCATTTTTACAAAATAAAATTTTGGTTCCTATTATTATTTCTGCCTACTGGTCTGTTTTCAACTTTCCAAGACTGTACTTAATGCAAAAGGTATAAAACCATGCCATTATACGACCATGATGGTTCTTTGGCTCTCCAACATGCCACATTTCTCTTGGTTGTGACACAAAAATGCAGCAAGATTTAAACAATTAGACACAAAAAGATTGATAAATGTTTGATGTTTTTAAAACATTTACAAAACTCTAAGTTAGTATTCAATAGAAAATATTTTGTATTTATTTATACCTAGGGAAAAAGACTATAAATAGTATTTGTAGCTATGAGGAGACTAACAAACTAGTATAGTTAATCTTATAAACCTCTTATCTATTATACTTTATAATCCTATAGGTAAAATAAATACTACATACTATTTAACCCCCCTTTTACCTTAACCCCCTATATTATATCATCACAGTTTACAAGACAGTCAGTGTCTTTGTACTGTAACCCCTTCATTATATATATCATCACAGTTTACAAGACAGTCAGTGTCTTTGTACTGTAACCCCTTCATTATATATATCATCACAGTTTACAAGACAGTCAGTGTCTTTGTACTGTAACCCCTTCATTATATATATCATCACAGTTTACAAGACAGTCAGTGTCTTTGTACTTTAAACCCCTTCATTATATATATCATCACAGTTTACAAGACAGTCAGTGTCTTTGTACTGTAACCCCTTCATTATATATATCATCACAGTTTACAAGACAGTCAGTGTCTTTGTACTGTAACCCCTTCATTATATATATCATCACAGTTTACAAGACAGTCAGTGTCTTTGTACTGTAACCCCTTCATTATATATATCATCACAGTTTACAAGACAGTCAGTGTCTTTGTACTGTAACCCCTTCATTATATATATCATCACAGTTTACAAGACAGTCAGTGTCTTTGTACTGTAACCCCTTCATTATATATATCATCACAGTTTACAAGACAGTCAGTGTCTTTGAACTGTATGTTTCTCTTGATGATTCCATCTATTTTAATACAAATTATTTAGTTATGAGTTGTGGATCTTTGTTTTGTAGAATATTTTTGTTGGTGACTTCTTGCTCCTATCCACTCAGCTTGCTTACTTTGAAAATTTGCAAGTTTGCCAGATTTTGGAAAGTTAACACTTATTTTCTAATAAACTGTCCTGATGAGGAATGTGTTTCCAAAATGTGTTTCCGCGTCATGAGTGGAAACTGGTCTGAAAACCTGAGCCAGCATCTGATATTTTTCAAGAATACTAGAATATAATCAGTTATAAAGATTTAAACCACTTTTCTAATTTCTTCAATATGTAGAACTTATACAAGGCGTTTAGGCAAGATAAATACATTTACTTTTATTCCTAACAATAGACAATGTATTTTCATAAGGTGTGGATAAAGTTATTAATGGAAATACTTAGTCTAAGTCACACATCTACTATTGTTATTATATTATACTATAGTCAATTTATAACACATCTGATGCATTGAATGACCAAACATCAGAGTTCAAAGTTTTAGGTGTAACCCACATTGCTACATGAAGTACCATCTCAACATTCTTGCTAATATTTTGAATTAGAATATTTTCATTCAGAATTCTACATGTCAATTTCACTTTTATCTCAGTTTGAGAAATATGCTTTGGTTTCCAACCTATGTATCTAGTATTGGTTGAAACATGGTAGACGGCTTTTATGATATTTAAATCTGTCATCCCAAAGGATTTGATCAAAAGGGACTTGCCCTACGGAATTTTAAATATATATTTTATGATTTCTTTAATCCTGCCAGAACAATAGGATGACTTCACTACAAGTATATAGTTATTGTTTTTCTTCTACCAACTGAAATTTCTTCATGGAGCCCACATAATAATATACTATGTTGGCGTTTCTTATATAATACATATATAGTACATCTATATAAATAATTTTTATCTGTAGTGATTTCTGTATTGTTTTCTGTAGATTATTACAGCAGTAGAATATGGAGTTAAAGGAATATTATTATACTGGGATAAAGACAGTAAAGATTCTACAGCAACTGAGTCATCTGTGATACCATTTACTTCTGCTGGACCTTATACAGGTAGGAATGGATACTCTTATTAATCTAATAGAGAATGGCTGTACTTGATATCCTTAGTAATCTGAATAGAAAATGACTTTTCTTGATACCCTTATTAATCTAATAGAGAATGGCTGTACTTGATGTACTTAGTAATCTGAATAGAAAATGACTTTTCTTGATACCAATCTGAATAGAAAATGATTTTTCTTGATACCAATCTGAAAAGAAAATGAATTTTCTTGATACCAATATGAATAGAAAATGACCTTTCTTGATACCCTTATTAATCCAATAGAGAATGGTTGTACTTGATATCCGTAGTAATCTGAATAGAAAATGACCTTTCTTGATACCAATCTGAATAGAAAAAGACTTTTTTGATACCCTTAGTAATTTGAATAGAAGATGACTTTTCTTTATACCAATCTGAATAGAAAATGACGTTTCTTGATACCCTTAGTTTTCTTGATACCCTTAATAATCTGAATAGAGAAAGTCTGTGATACTGATAGATAATTCTATTACTAATACCATGTATTTATTTAATTATAGAAGGAGAGAAGTTACCATCTATACCAGTACAGACTATATCTACAGATCAAGCTGATTGGTTATTTAATAATAATATTGTATGTTCCAATTTATGGCAGAGAAAAACATCTTTAAACTGTCCAACAAGTAAGTTAGCATTCTTAGTTTAATTAATTAATATTAAGTTTTATCTCCTAAATGAAAAGAATACAAGATTTAATGTCATGCAACTAATATATTTTCTTCTTTACCATGTGGAACACATTCTACAGTTATTTTGAGAATTGGAACAAACAGAACCCACAAATCAAGCATCGCCCATTCTAACTAGAATATAATTACTTTATTGTGTTTCTGTCACATTTCAGGTGATAATACTGTAGAGTTATCTACCTTTAACATCAAGAAAAATAAAGATATAACTAATATTATAGCTACTATTAATGGTGAAAAAGAACAAGGTAAGTTATTGATGTGTGGACCACCACTTTTAAGCAGATTGTTATAGTTTTAGACATGTCTGTGGTAATGTTTTGAATTCTATAAACTGCTACAGATTGTTGAAATTGAGCTCTATCAGCTTCTATATGTATTTTGGAAATATTTTAGGCCCAGCATTTGGGCGACTTGTCTAATTGTAGATACTTTTTATGAAACTAAAAGCATAGCCTTCATGATTACGTTATATTTGTACATGTACTGTTTAATCTGAGTTAGGCATTTGGATGTACAAGGTATTTATGTGTTTACAATTTGTAAAGCATTGTAATACTTGTAAAAAGTGTTTATAAACGTGAACATGATAAAACGTCTAAATGTTTTTCTAGATCGTTATGTGGTGGTTGGAGCACCAAGATCAGCTTTCCCTACAGATGGTAATGATGTTATATCAAATACAGCTTTCATAGTACAACTAGCTAGAAGCTTAACTCGTGTTCAACAGTTACAGAATTGGAAACCAAGAAGAAGTATAAAGATTGTATCTTGGGGTGGTGCTGAATTCTCCAATACTGGTCTTGATTCATATGTTCAGGTACTTACCTATTTACGATTTCAGGATAAGGGGATTGGTTCAGTAAAGGCATTAGAATCTTGATGTCATTTGCTTGATTACATCTGATAAATGGTGGTTGGGGGTTCTAATTTTGTTGGACTTATTCCAGAAATGAGTACAGATAACTCCGAAAAGATCTATGATGAACAGTTTAGTTGATCAAAAAAATCTTTGATAATCTTAGTTATCTTTGTAAAATTTGGTTGCTTCAATGTTCTGTGAAAAACATTTGTCAATCTGTCATTTTTAGACTCAAAAAGAAATATTAAAGAGAAGAGCTATAGCATATTTAGATATAAATCAGTTGGTATTAGGAGATGAGTCTATTATGGCTACCCTATCACCAGCATATCAAACTTTACTCAGTATAGTTACTACCAAGGTAAGTAGATAAGGGCTATTTTTTAATTCTATTTTTTTTTTTTTTTTTTTGTTAAATGCTAATTAGACAAAATATGTCAAAGAAGGTAAAGATAATTGCTCACCTAGCTTTTGGATCAGAGCAAGATCGTTGATTTTACTATTGTATTTTCTAATATATATTATGTTGTGTAGGTACCAGATCCTAAATATCCTGAAGCAACAATACATGATAAACTAATGGCTACTGTAGGTGATTTAACTATTGGACAGAAAGTACCATTTATTAATTATAATAAAGTACCAATAGACAATATCTTCTTACATCAACTTGGTGTACCATCTGTACATTTACAATATGTTGGACAAAATCAGGTCAGATTTTCTTTCATTGTCTTGTCTTTTATCACGGGTTATAAGGTGTTATGGAGTTTCAACTGTCAAGTGATTCACCAGGTACACAGTTTGTAATAAAAAAGACTTGTGTGTCTTTTCCATTTTTGCTTATCTATTTGACCTTATCTAAGAAATGATTTTTGGCTGCACTGAGCCACCTCAACTCACAATGATGCTCTTTTTGAGAAAATTACAAAAAATGTGATTTTATTTCTAGACTTATGTACCATTATCTACCATGGTGACAGAAGAAAAACAACATCATTATAAATATCATGCAGCTGTTGGTAGAGTTATGGTTCTTGTTTTATTACGTCTGGTTGATGAAGAATTAATACCCTATTCTATAGAAGATTATTGTCATGATCTACATGTAAATCTCTGGACAGCCTCTGAACAATTAGCAGATTGTTCTCGTAATAAAATAGATCTCAGTAAGTCAATTTCAGCAATTTGTACTACTTTTCAGAAAGAATATCTGGCATCTGAGTTTTCTACAATTCATTTAAAATGTACAAATGGAATAAGTGAAAAGTTTCCTAGTTGCAATTTAATATAATCTATTTAGATATTATTTGTAATATGGGTATTATCAATAGAGGAATATTCAATCTATTATAGGTGATGCTATATCAACAGTAGATGATGTGTTAGAAACTAGTAAAACATTAGAGAAATATATACAGACATATTTAACAGTTGATAATGTATACTCTATAAGATCTATTAATGATATCAAAATGTTATTAGACAAGTTCTTCCTATATACATCAAATGGGTAAGTTATTAAAAATTCCATTTAGAAAGTATTAGTAAAGACTTATTGGATAATATAACAAGTTTTAATAAGGTTATTATGAAATGTGCAATTATCCAGTCACATTCGAATGCCATTCCAGTGCTCTATTATTGAAGAAAAATATGCGGGTTTTTTTTATAGCATTTATGCATATTCAGCAAATTTGACGAATTTTTGAAAAGTTGATATTTAAATCATCTTTGATTTTTGTGGCTCTCTTCACAAGTGATAAAATGTATCTGAATAATATAGCATTTGAGTGCAACATCATGTGTGTTTGATAGATCCTCAACAAAGCAAGATATTGATTGTTGAATCTATAACTCAGTTCATGGGGTTGGAAGATACTACTCCCCCAAAAAAATTATGTCATTCCACAGATTTTTATATTTTATATTCTATCTTCTTTCTAGGACCACATCAAATATACTCTACCCGTTTGATAGTAATGGTGTTATTAGTCATATTGATGAACTGTGTCAAATAGGAAAAACAACTAAAGATTGGACACAGTCTAAAATATATCAAAAACAGTTAGAAAACAGTCTGAATGGAATATATTATAGTTTACGTTCTAGTGGTTAAAATAGTGCATAATTAATGAAATGCTGAGTGTAATTGTATTTCTTTACTTGCTGTGTTGTAGCTGATGTGAAATATATGTGACATCATTAATCAAAATGTCTTGAGCTCTGATCATGCTGAATGTTGATTGATCTACAAATCATCATTATATTATTGTGTTTTTGGGCAACAAGAAAATAGAATTACACTTAGCATTTCTTCAACCTATTTAATGGAAAGAGTCTCAGTAGATACATAGTGTGTTGATTAAAAACCGTCCAGATAAATCATTTCAGAACTTACATATCAGTCAGACTTCAAAAAAGAATTTGATATCATTGTTTTATATATGATGGATATTAAGCTCTGTCAATTAATCAAGCAAATATGTAGTAAACTACCGGTATATGCCTGTAAGACTGGAAACATTCACTTTTCAAATAGATTTCAGAGCTATATGTCCATAACGATTTAACAGTGGAACACATTGTAAGGGGTAAACATATCTACATTACATTGTTACATGTGTCAAAATGGGTTGACAATAGTTTAATATTTCTTTATCATATAATTTTTAGACATACTCTGATCTTCTATTAAATGAAATTTTAACCATTATTGTTGCTGTAAAATTGTCTTTGTTTTTGTTGATGTTTATTATCTTATGTTTGTTGATGTGATGTTTATTTCATAGTATAACAATACAACCAACCAAAGAGAACCTTTCACTTAGTCAGTTAATATTGACTATTTTCATTTCTGATTCATTACATCAATCTATACAATATAAGTACTTTGTTTTGATACTCAAGTAAGCAATTTTTGCAATCAAGACCTCAAAAAAAGTCGCATGCTATTTCAACGGACCCTGCAATGGATGATTAGACTGTCTCTTTAAGAAATTTAAAACATACTTATAACATGCTTTTTAATTTGACTAAGTCTAATAATGTCTTTGAGATGACGACAGTCTACACATGTTTCATACAGCTGAAATTAAGCACTATCAGCTGGTAAAGTATAACTCTAAACTTTAAACCTATTAACTAGTAAATTAACTTTTTTACATCCATTACATATGTTTTTGTATTTGATTTGTTTATATTTTGTCCTATTTGTAAATAATCATTATCATTTGAAGGGTTTGTGCAATATTTTGTTTATGTATGTAATCAATGTACTTCATTTCATTCCATTTGTATATAATATCTAGTTAATGAAATTTTCAATAATCCACTAGGCTTCATTCATTTGGTAGTTATTTGTTGTAAGTAGAAATATATGTTTTTTGGACCATATGAAATTATCATTTGACATAAAGTACCCAATTTAAATGGTAGAGTTTTAGATCTAGTTTCCATTTAAAACTTGTAATTTATTGTGCAAGTACAATTTGTAGGACATACAGATAGCTTGTCTCACCTGTGTTCAAGGAAGGAATTAGATTACTTTGAGAGATTATTGAATTTACAGTGTAGTCTCAAGTAAATGCCTTGATACTGGTTAATATATGTATTGTACAACACTATGTAGTATATATATCTATATATTCCAAACAGTTACAGAAAAGTAAGAATAAAACTCTGCTTTGTTTTATAATAGTTATAATGTATAATTCTTTTGTGGATTATTATATTGATTCATGTTACCTATAATTCAAAATGTCTAAATAAGATGATTTTTAAATTAATCTTTATTCATCTATTTTGTACTTTTATAAACAGTCATATTAGTAAAGTTTTCAATAATATGAGCTTTTATATTTATATATTTTGTTGTGATATCTATGTTTATTTTTGGAGACATTTTATTCAGTACTTTATTGACTTTGCTGTGAGCAGAAATTTGATTTGGAGGCCAGTGTTATTAACCCATTAAGTCAAATTGCATCATTTGGAGAAGAAAATAACATCTGATTCTGTTCTGAAATCTGAGAAAAATTATCAATCTTATCATTAAATGAAGAATTTTTGACATGTACCTTCCTCTTTCCATATTCGGGGGGTTGATTTGGGTCTTGAATATACGTAAATAGTCTCCAGAAATACTAGGAATTTTACTTTCTATTTCTATATCTGTCTTTTTTATTTATCTACCTAGAAATCATCTAGGCTGCTCTATTATGTTTTGTGTATGAATATTTTTAATTCGATGGTGGCAGATTAAGGACAAATGATAAAATGGGAAATGCTTCATTCTATTTGAATTTTTTGAGTTTTCTTTCATTTTTTTTTCCAGATTGTGTCTTAACTGAGCCACTGTAATATTTTTTGTACATTAAAAAAAGAACAAGAAAATGTGTAAAAATGTAGGTCAAAGCTTGCTGATTTAATCTTGGAAACTAATAGTATATAATATCTTTGCGTGGACTGCTTGAAGTAGTATGTAACGAACTAAAATATAACAAAAATCACGCTTAAACATTGAGCTACACAACAGAATCCCTGTATAATCCTATACAACTAGGAACAACGTTGTAAGTGATAATGCGTCTTATATAAAGTGCGTGGTGTAATCCAAATTATACGCTTAAAGAACACTTACCGTCTTCAATACATTTCCACAGTTCCTCTGGTGTGGGGAAAACGTGGACAGTGAGGATGGTGTCTGCCCCTAGATAATACCGTCTCAAATCGTCTATGGTGTTGGTTTGTACGACATGCGGATGGGCGTCATTGTCGCGAAGCAACTGAGCGAACGGTGTACAGTATCTTTCACGATACTCCTCATTGTAGTTGCACTTCAGACATCATGAACGTTCGATTATCTGAAAAATTAATTAAACCAGTTCACAAACCGTATTTATCATGTCTTTGAGCAAAGTAAATTAATTAAGTCAAATGTTTTAGGTTACTTTGCGTCGTAGATTACTTGAAATGAATCGATTGAAGGATTTGTTAAAATATTACGCAAAGCGCAAAATATTCCAATCTTCGTTCTATAATATGATTATAATCTTTTAAAAGGATAAAAAAAAAGATGGGCGGGGGCTTTTACAGCGTCGTTAACGAGAACAAACGAGGCGACGTTATTTCTTTATTCTTCAAGGCATTATAACGTCATAATCAGTAGCTTAACTGTTTTCACCAAGTAAGCTGCGTTTTTCAAGTTATCTTGAAGATTGTCGGAATATTTTGGAATATTTTCGTAAGAAGATGAAGAATTTGACGGTTCCTGTTGTTTTTGAGGTGGAGTTGGATCCTGGACGTAAAGGAGTAGTTCCTCGTTTAATGGGTTCCATAAGTGAGCTGGGATTTTGGGAAACCGCATACGGCGTGGACGCCAGCAGGAGGATTGCCAAGGACTCACCAATATGGAAAGTGAAGGTACATATACCCCAGAGGTCTTTTTCTATTTCAACTGGGCCCTGATGAAAAAGGGGGAAGTAGTTGAAGAAGATCAGTACCGCCAAGCTGATATTGGTGTTTTTGGTGGTCTCATGAAGACCAAATACGGAGAAGGATCAGGAGAATTCATCATGGATGGTGGATGTAAAGTTTCTGTAGCGACTCATTACCATTTGAGTTACAATGAATCACTCGCTGTAGTTGGTTCGGGAGATTTTCTGGGCAACTGGGAAAGTTCCGGTTCTTCTAAATGCTTCAGTATGAACGATGTATGGAGTACGAAATTCGAGATGAAACAAGAGACGACTGAAGAGTTCAGGCTAGTGATTTTGAACAGGGAGAGCGGTCAGATAAAAAGATGGCAGGACGGTGGAAACCGGGTGATAAAGATAGAAGAGGGGCTGAATTCTAAAAGTCTGTATGTCCCTTGGGCTGGAAGATATCTACAAGAAGGAATAATAATACCTATTATTACGATAGTCGAATGTTTCGGTGAGTTATGGACATTTTCTCTCTGTAACTTTTTTTCAATTCCATTTTATCAATACGTTTTTTACTTGTGATTTGAATATTGGTTTTACCTTGAAAATTCCGCTTTTTCACCCTTTTAATTTGAATACTTTTTGTACAATTTTTGCCCGTTCTATTTCAGACAACCGACCCACAGTTGAAGCGTTATCTGGCGTCTCTTCACCGCCAAACTTATCCAGAGCAGCCTCCAATTTATTTTTAACCAACGGCGAGTTGGATGTTGGGATTTCAAAAGACCTAAAATATACCAAATTACCAAATTAATCCAGGAAAGGCTATGCTAAGAGGTTTGGCAAGGCTGGTGCAAATAAATAACGTGAAGGTTGAATCGTAAAATATACCCAAATGAATAATTGCTTTAATCGGTGTTTTACTTTTTCAGACAACAGCAATAAACCTAGAAAAACTTTACCAAGGACAACAATTACTCTAGATCTCCAGGCTTTGATCGGAGTCGAACACGGAGACACAGACGGGGGACAAGAAGCTAATAATAACTGTCAAGCATCGCTACGTCTTGCGGTTAAATCGGATCTTGGTATCTGCTCAAAAGATGACAGTCAAAAAAGTACAACAGAGGACGTTGCAAAATCTGGCACAAGTGAGGTGCGGCTATTACTCCCCGAATCTCAAGTTTCAAGCCCAAGAGATCTTCCAAATGCTAGCTTACGTCAGCTACCATTTTCTGTCGCAGACGACTGTTGTAACTTGCCTCATCAAGGTAAAAGTGAAGTAGACAATTTTTTTGAAAGCGTCTGGGTGTCAAAGAAGAACATAGACGCTGTATTGGCGGAATTGTCTCGTATGACTGAAGAAAAGCTTGCAATGAGGATCAATGGTGGTTCAAAGAAACCAACTGCTATAGAAACTGCTCTGTCGATAGGAGATTCGACTCCACAGGACCTGAAGCAAAAAGTTTCAATTGCTGTGTCATCCAGAGTTCCTCGTCCAGATGTCAGTGAAACTTTAAAGCCCCGGCCATATTTTGCTGCTAACGAATTTCTAGAAGAAACTAAAAATTCAGAATATAAATTGCCTGAATATGAAAGAACTTGGTCATCTGGAAACGCCATAGACGCTGTGTTGGTGGAATTGTCTCGTATGACTGAAGAAAAGCTTGCAATGAGGATCAATGGTGGTGCAAAGAAACCAACTGCTAAAGAAACTGCTTTGTCGACAGGAGATTCCAGTCCACAGGACCTGAAGCGAAAAGTTTCAACTGCTGTGTCATCCAGAGTTCCTCGTCCAGATGTCAGTGATAGGTTAAAGCCCCTTTTCTTTTTTATATTTTATATTGAAGTATTCTTATTTATATTTTGTATATTTTGGTAATAAATTTCTTAATTTTGTAAATTCTGTGTTTTTCACATATCCCTGTAAAGGTACTGCAGAGAGATCTGCGCTTCGGATTAACCCTTAAACCTGTACCGTATTGCACTGACAAAATTAATCACAATAGTTGCATTATTTTCTGAAATAAACAATCACGGTTAATTGAGGCAAACAGTGGGAGTTATAAAGAGGTTTTCTTAACTTTTTGTGTGTATCGAGACACTGATAGCAGGAAGTACGGACGTATGATTGAAAACTGGAATCGTGCGAATTGATACTATCAGTGTCCGCGATACACATACAAAAATTGAGAAAACCTCCTTCTTCTTGTTGGTGGATGGTGTCCGTTCGGAAAAAATTCCATATCACAGACGTTGAGTAAGGAACGGGTTGCTCCCATAGTTGCGTGGACTGCTTTTAGTGGTATGTAACGATCTGAAATATAAAAAAAATGACGCATAAACATGGAGCTACACAACAGAATCCCTGTGTAATCCTATACAACTAGGAACAACGTTGTAAGTGATAATGCGTCTTAAAGTGCTTGTTGTAATCCAAATTATACGCTTAAAGAACACTTACCGTCTTCAATACATTTCCACAGTTCCTCTGGTGTGGAGAAAACATGGCAACTGAGCGAACGGTGTACAGTATCTTTCACGATACTCCTCATGGCGGACACCTTCTTGTAGTTGCACTGCAGACATCATGTACGTTCGATTATCTGAAAAATTGATTAAACCAGTTCACGAACCGTATTTATCATGTCTTTGAGCAAAGTAAATTAATTAAGTCAAATGTTTTAGGTTATTTTTTCGTGGTAGATTTTCTTGAAATGAATCGATTGAAGGATTTGTTAAAATATTACGCAAAGCGCAAAATATTCCAATCTTCGTTCTATAATATGATTATAATCTTTTAAAAGGATAAAAAAAAAAAAGATGGGCGGGGGCTTTTACAGCGTCGTTAACGAGAACAAACGAGGCGACGTTATTTCTTTATTCTTCAAGGCATTATAACGTCATAATCAGTAGCTTAACTGTTTTCACCAGATAAGCTGCGTTTTTCAAGTTATCTTGAAGATTTTCGGAATATTCTAGAATATTTTCGTAAGAAGATGAAGAATTTGACGGTTCCTGTTGTTTTTGAGGTGGAGTTGGATCCTGGAAGTAAAGGAGTGGTTCCTCGTTTAATGGGTTCCATAAGTGAGCTGGGATTTTGGGAAACCGCATACGGCGTGGACGCCAGGAGGATTGCCAAGGACTCACCAATATGGAAAGTGAAGGTACATATACCTCAGAGGTCTTTTTTCTATTTCAACTGGGTCCTGATGAAAAAAGGGGAAGTAGTTGAAGAAGATCAGTACCGCCAAGCTGATATTGGTGTTTTTGGTGGTCTCATGAAGACCAAATACGGAGAAGGATCAGGAGAATTCATCATGGATGGTGGATGTAAAGTTTCTGTAGCGACTCATTACCATTTGAGTTACAATGAATCACTCGCTGTTGTTGGTTCGGGAGATTTTCTGGGCAACTGGGAAAGTTCCGGTTCTTCTAAATGCTTCAGTATGAACGATGTATGGAGTACGAAATTCGAGATGAAACAAGAGACGACTGAAGAGTTCAGGCTAGTTATTTTGAACAGGGAGAGCGGTCAGATAAAAAGATGGCAGGACGGTGGAAACCGGGTGATAAAGATAGAAGAGGGGCTGAATTCTAAAAGTCTGTATGTCCCTTGGGCTGGAAGATATCTACAAGAAGGAATAATAATACCTATTATTACGATAGTCGAATGTTTCGGTGAGTTATGGACATTTTCTCTCTTTAATCTTTTTTCAATTCCATTTTATCAATACGTTTTCTACTTGTGATTTGAATATTGGTTTTGCCTTGACAATTCCGCTTTTTCACCCTTTTAATTTGAATACTTTTTGTACAATTTTTGCCCGTTCTATTTCAGAAAACCGACCCACAGTTGAAGCGTTATCTGGCGTCTCTTCACCTCCAAACTTATCCAGAGCAGCCTCTAAGTTATTTTTAACCAACGGCGAGTTGGATGCTGAGATTTCAAAAGACCTAGAACTGACTCTAGCTCAAAATCCCACATTTAAAGATGTGATGGCTTTACTTTGTAATGATGGTGAGTTTTCTTTTGATATTTATGATTACTCTCTTCTCCTGTTATACCAAATTACCAAATTAATCCAGGAAAGGCTATGCTAAGAGGTTTGGCAAGGCTGGTGCAAATAAATAACGTGAAGGTTGAATCGTAAAATATACCCAAATGAATAATTGCTTTAATCGGTGTTTTACTTTTTCAGACAACAGCAATAAACCTAGAAAAACTTTACCAAGGACAAAATTTACTCTAGATCTCCAGGCTTTGATCGGAGTCGAACACGGAGACACAGACGGGGGACAAGAAGCTAATAATAACTGTCAGGCATCGCTACGTCTTGCGGTTAAATTGGATCTTGGTATCTGCTCAAAAGATGACAGTCAAAAAAGTACAACAGAGGACGTTGCAAAATCTGGCACAAGTGAGGTGCAGCTATTACTCCCCGAATCTCGAGTTTCAAGCCCAAGAGATCTCCCAAATGCTAGCTTACGTCAGCTACCATTTTCTGTCGCAGACGACTGTTGTAACTTGCCTCATCAAGGTAAAAGTGAAGTAGACAATTTTTTTGAAAGCGTCTGGGTGTCAAAGAAGAACATAGACGCTGTATTGGTGGAATTGTCTCGTATGACTGAAGAAAAGCTTGCAATGAGGATCAATGGTGGTGCAAAGAAACCAACTGCTATAGAAACTGCTCTGTCGACAGGAGATTCCACTCCACAGGACCTGAAGCGAAAAGTTTCAACTGCTGTGTCATCCAGAGTTCCTCGTCCAGATGTCAGTGATAGTTTAAAGCTCCGGCCATCTTTCGCTGCTAACGAATTTCTAGAAGAAACTAAAAATTCAGAATATAAATTGCCTGAATATGAAAGAACTTGGTCATCTGGAAACGCCATAGACGCTGTGTTGGTGGAATTGTCTCGTATGACTGAAGAAAAGCTTGCAATGAGGATCAATGGTGGTGCAAAGAAACCAACTGCTAAAGAAACTGCTTTGTCGACAGGAGATTCCAGTCCACAGGACCTGAAGCGAAAAGTTTCAACTGCTGTGTCATCCAGAGTTCCTCGTCCAGATGTCAGTGATAGTTTAAAGCCCCTTTTCTTTTTTATATTTTATATTGAAGTATTCTTATTTATATTTTGTATATTTTGGTAATAAATTTCTTAATTTTGTAAATTCTGTGTTTTTTTGCATAGGTACTACAGAGAGAACTGCGCTTCGGATTAACCCTCAAGCCCTTGTGATAACCTGTACCGTATTGTACTAACAAAATGAATCACAATATTTGCATTATTTTGTAAAATAAACAATTTTTCTTCCGCAAAACATCGTTACAAACATCACATTGATAAGGTTTCTGTACAGTATATATTCTAATGTTAACATTAAATCTTTCTGTGTAAAATACATTTTACAAATATCACATTGATAAAGATTATATTCGATCAAATTGCTTCATTTTACATGCTAAGGACGGATGTACCCAACTTTCCCTACAAGCAAGTTTAAACATCACGCACGTGACAACACAGTAGTAAACATTGCAGTATGGCTCCAGTATTTGGAGTATTTGAATGAATGTTTTTTAACTCTAGAAACAATGGAGAATGAAAAACTGGTTGTCATTAGGTGCTGTGTTGATTAATAGCAAGAAAGATGAACAGTCATTCAGAATATCTGATCAACAATATGCACGTCGATGATGTGAGTTTATTTCAGTAATATAATATGTATATCATACGATGCATGTTATGATAGCCATTGTGCATGTAATAGGATAACTTAGTCCTTTTTCGGACGGTTCAAAAGGTGAATGTCTTTACTTTATAACGTATATGAATGATTGTTCTTATCAACTTATGCCAGTGTATATTTATATTTGTTTATTCAAGCTGTAATCACTTTTAGCCTTCTTTATAATTATTATTAAATAAGTTCAGTTGATCAAGATTACACTATATTATGAGCTTACAAAATAAATTTGATATGACTTGTCCAAATGGGATCAGTTATAAGACTTGGTTTTGAGGGAGTCTGTTTTTTCTTTGTATAAACAATATTTTACTCAATAAATGAAATGGTCGGGAAAGGCTTATAATTGTAGCCTTTTTCTGGCTCAAAGGGATTTACTAAAACTGTTGCTGTTGTAGGTGCGATATACTTATTTATGCTTGTAAAGGTGGGTAGCCCCATGTCTGGTTTTACATGGCACAATACCTCAATGGGTTCGAGTATGCTGTTATTCACTATCAAATATAATTGATTTTGATACTGAAATAGTCTTGACAACTAGATAATACCTTCCCTTCCACCTTTTTCAATATGACATTCATTATCTTCAATATAAATTTGATATTGTCTTATCTTTTGTTTTGAATTTCACCGTGTTTATTTTTAGATATTGTTTATATAAATTAAAAAGGTTACGACCCATTGTACTTGTAATCATTTATGTAGGACAAAATTGATTGTTAGGCTATTTCAATGAAATTTCTTATGATTTTTTGAAAAAATACTTTTTGTCCTCAATTTGTGTCTGCATTCATGAAAATTAATTTTAATATCCAAATTTTTCTATGGGCAGCCTTGCACATTTGAAATCTCAATGCCAACAGCTGCACCTTCTTGGAGAGGCCTGTCTCCCTTTAAGTCAGGTTTGCTCCCTTTTTGTATTCCAAGTTCGAGGAGGATGGTACCGCCTAAAAGTGTGGTTCTGACATTATTGAATTACCAATACTAGATTCTTAATTCTTGCAAAAGTCATTTATATTGAACACTAGGAGATAAGATTATGTGGCAATTCCTGTTTTAATGAAGTTGACAAACACTCCCCTAATCTAACCTTGTACCATACAACCCTATGTTTATAAATATTTTTGAAATAGTCATATATATCAATGATAAGAGATATTATTGTATTTTGTTTCAGATTATAATACATGTGGTACATTATCATTGTTATGATTTTCAATATAATATCTAATCAAATTGAATATCATCCTTTTATCAGATAACTTATGTGTTGTCTTCACAAACTATAGCTACTGTCTACTGTCTTGTTTTGAGAAAGTGACTTTCAAACAAAGTAATATGTAAATTAAGCAGCAAGATTCTAAAAACTTGAAATTCTAAATTTTAACAAAGTTTTCATTGTTGGTAACAAGGAGTGATTAGATTTTGTGAAAAATTCAGACAGAATTAGTGCCATGTAATCTGGAAATATGAAGGAAACGAAGGATGAATCTTTTAGGGCATTGTAATAAGGTTATTGTGAAATATTAAAGTTGGGTTCATCTGACAACATTGAGGACAGTATATTTAAGTATATATTGAAATATTAAAGTTGTGTTCATCACATGATTAAGATGAAATTTATTGTAAGTTTTTGATCATGTTCAGTTGTTCAATCTGCAGAATGAATATATAGAAATGTAACTTCATGATCAGACCTCAACTTTCTTTTGTATATGCCCATTAATGGTTTGTGTGTCTTTTCTCAATTTTGAAATGAATATTGTTCAGATAGACTATCATCATGCCAATGAAAATAATTAAAATCATATTTGAAAATGACAAAGACACATTAACAAAAATATAATACAAAATAAGGTATTATAATGAATTTGTTTTTCATTTTAGGACACAAGCATAAGAAATCCGACAGCTCGACAGGATTCGTATGTATCTGATTCTTTTTCTGATGATAGAAGCTACCAGCTAACTGATAATGGACAGAAAACATCTATAAACAATGAAACAGTTACTGTTGCTGTTTCTCCATGGAGTCAGAATCCTGTAACTGATGATGAAGCTGATGATGAAGAAATTCGACGTACCCATGAGTTGATGAACAATTCACTTACTTCAAGTACACTGAAAGTTGAGGTATGTATAAACAAGGGATTACATCCTAGCCCAAAGATTGCAGATCAGCTATAGTGAGCAAAGAAACTAACTTCAGCCATTCAGCCAGTCAGAATTTGACTAAATCATGGAATATCATGGATGGCAAGTAATGTACTCTTCAGAAAAAACAAAACAAAACACATGATCAATTAGAAAAAGAAGTACTAAAACAGAACATGAAGTTTGTTGTTACTCATTGTATACTCATGGAATTTTTGTCATTGTCAACTCATGAACTGAAAATGCCTTGTCATTAAGTTAAATTATGACAAGTAATTCAACTACTTCTGATAACTGTCTAGTTAGAGAATGGTATTATCACATCTATTATCAAATGTTAGCCTACTGATAGTAAAATTTGGTCATTTCATTAGATATATCATTATGACTGACCACATTAGTTACAATTGAAGGACTTTGTCTTGATAATGCTGCAGTATATAGCAGATGTTGAATATTCTGTTGACCGATTTAATGGTTCACTTTCAGTTACTGAGTCTTTCAAGGTAATGTTCAGTTCACCACTTTGGTCAACTTTGTTTGACAAAAAGTATGTCAGTGTTTTGTCCTGTTTCAGATATCTCTGCCATCTCTGTAATTTATTAGACCTGCAGATCTAGTCATGTCAAGTTTAGTATACATAAGAGAAAATATAGATGATTGTAAAAGGAATTCAAAAGGGGTTTTTCTAGTATTTGAGATGCTTATAGCTTCTATTTGTACCAATCTTCCATCTGATTGATTTGAAATTACAGTCATATTTCATTGGAAATGAAATCATAATCATGTAAATAGAACTTACAAACATCCAGGGTAAACACATAAACCCTAGGAAATCTCTTAGTGAGAAACATGGTATTGAATTATATAAATGTTGGTAAATGGAAATTGATATGATAGTTATCTCTTAATAATTACACATCAAGAAACAACATTATCTGTGACCTATATATATATATATATATATATATATATATTATCAGACTCTAATATTCAAAATGTTCAAGATGTTGATTGTCCATATTCAACTTGTCAATGATTGGTATCTGGAAACTTTTGATCATTGACTGTTGACACATTTGGTCTGTTGAGCATTGATATTTTTATATATATATATCATTGATGTTCAATCTTTTGATTATTGATATGTTCAATCTTTTGATTATTGTTATGTTCAGTTTTTGGGTTATGGATATGTTCAATCTTTTGATTATTGATATGTTCAATCTTTTGATTATTATTATGTTCAGTTTTTGGGTTATGGATATGTTCAAACTTTTGATTATTGATATGTTCAATCTTTTGATTGTTGATATGTTAAATCTTTTGAGAATTGTTATGTTCAATCTATTAATAATTGATATGTTTAATCTGCTGATTATTGTTATGTTCAGTTTTTGATTATTGATATGTTCAATCTTTTGATTATTGATATGTTCAGACTTTTGACTATTGATATATTCTAGCTGCTGATTTTTTTTATATGCTCAATCTGCTGATTATGACTGTTAAACATGTTCATGTTTATATCATCAGATTAGTGATTTGGGTGGAGAAGAAAGTTTTAATTTAACGACTAGTGCTTTAAGAAAATGTAAAATTCAAGTATTAAGGCCATACTGGAGACTTCTAACATTTGTAAGTATTTTCATTGTCTGTAGTAAACAACAACAACAAAAATATACAGGAGGTGACCTCTTGAACTAGTTTAACATCTTAATTGTAAAAAACTTTACAATACAACCTATTGACCTAATAACTATAATCTGAGAGGTCAGAGGGTCAATGCAGATGTTTGTTGAAAAATCTACATGTGGGCTTAAATGATAGAACAGACCTTGACATCTATAAACATCAAATGAAATTAACATCCTACTTTTCTGCCCCTGACTGGCCTAATGAAGAAGGGCAATGCATGCAATTAGCAATGAGGATAATTTTACGTAGCAGAATTCTTTCTTAATTTTCAACTGTCGCAGGATATTTTATCTGCAATATATAATTTTCATTGATGACTATTTTGTAGATAGGATGGCGAGGATTTGGTACCGAAATGGTCAATTCAGGTCGAAGGTCATGGAGACTGTTAAATATTGTATACCCATCTATTATAGTGCTATTATTAATATATACCTATATCTATGAAATGGTTGCCTGTCAATGGAAACTCAATGTTCAAGTTGATACACATGTAAGTCATTGCATTTTGATGGAAATCACCTATTATCAGTATAGTTTAAGTCATTTAATGTGATCAGAATACCACCAACTACCATACAACCAATTACACCAAATATTACCAATTATACTACTACTTCATTTTATTATATTTCTAGGTAGTAACTACAGTAACAACCATACAACCAACTACACCAAATATTACCAATTATACTACTACTTCATTTTATTATATTTCTAGGTAGTGACTACAGTAACAACCATACAACCAACTACACCAAATATTACCAATTATACTACTACTTCATTTTATTATATTTCTAGGTAGTGACTACAGTAACAACCTTAAAACCAACTACACCAAATATTACCAATTATACTACTACTTCATTTTATTATATTTCTAGGTAGTGACTACAGTAACAACCTTAAAACCAACTACACCAAATATTACCAATTATACTACTACTTCATTTTATTATATTTCTAGGTACAGACTACTTTAACAACCATACAACCAACTACACCAAATATTACCAATTATACTACTACCTTATTTTATTATATTTCTAGGTACAGACTACTTTAACAACCATACAACCAACTACACCAAATATTACCAATTTTACTACTACTTCATTTTATTATATTTCTAGGTACAGACTACTTTAACAACCATACAACCAACTACACCAAATATTACCAATTATACTACTACCTTATTTTATTATATTTCTAGGTAGTGACTACAGTAACAACCATACAACCATCTACACCAAATATTACCAATTATATTACTACTTCATTTTATTATATTTCTAGGTAGTAACTACAGTAACAACCATACAACCAACTACACCAAATATTACCAATTATATTACTACCTCATTTTATTATATTTCCAGGTACAGACTACAGTAACAACCATACAACCAACTACACCAAATATTACCAATTATACTACTACCTTATTTTATTATATTTCTAGGTAGTAACTACAGTTACAACCATACAACCAACTACACCAAATATTACCAATTATATTACTACTTCATTTTATTATATTTCTAGGTACAGACTACTTTAACAACCATACAACCAATTACACCAAATATTACCAATTATACTACTACCTTATTTTATTATATTTCTAGGTAGTAACTACAGTAACAACCATACAACCAACTACACCAAATAATACCAATTATATTACTACTTCATTTTATTATATTTCTAGGTACAGACTACTTTAACAACCATACAACCAATTACACCAAATATTACCAATTATACTACTACCTCATTTTATTATATTTCTAGGTACAGACTACTTTAACAACCATACAACCAACTACACCAAATATTACCAATTATACTACTACCTTATTTTATTATATTTCTAGGTACAGACTACTTTAAACACCATACAACCAACTACACCAAATATTACCAATTATACTACTACCTTATTATATTTCTAGGTACAGACTACTTTTACAACCATACAACCAACT